TCGCTTTCTTGCCACTTTTACAGCAGCGTGGGATAAGGTCCTATCTCTGGCTCCTAGAATATATGTCTTGATCTTGAGTTTGTTCTGACCTGTACCATGATCTGTTTTTAGATGGGGGAGGGGGGAGACGTTTTAAAAAGGTCTTCCTTTAATTGCAAATTGGAAAATATTGCTATTCCATTCATATGGAATTCTAACTGAACAAATGGCTATAGTATAGAAGTAGTTTTATAATTAAGAGGAGAATTTAGATGTCATTTCAGAGACCATGCAATGTTTGTGAAAGGTGCATAGCACCATCTAGTGCACTTTTCTAAAAGCACTTTGAGCTTTAACAAGAGACATATTTTGCCAGATAAATTTTCTTCTACCATAATACCAACTTTGATTTATGGTGACCCTATGAATGAGAGTCCTTCAAGTCAGTGTATCATTAATAGCCTTGCTCAGGTCTTGCAAACTCACAACTGTTGTTTTTTTGAGTTTATCCACCTGAAATGCCATCTTCCTCTTTTGCTACTGCTTTCTACCTTACCAAGTATTATTGTCTTTTTCTAATGAGTCATGACTTCTCATGATATGGCCAAAGTATGACAGTCTCAATTTAGTCATTTTACTATCTACAGAGAGTTCGGGGTTGATTTGCTCTAGAACACATTTATTTGTCTTTTTAGTAGTCCACGATATCTGTAGAACTCTTCCCAGCACCACATTTCAAATTGGTCAATAATATTGGAAAATATGATAAAATGGGCTACCGACTTGGGAAGAACAATTAATCTGGAATGTTGGGAAAGGGCAAGGAAAAAAACAAGTAAATTTACAAAAGCACAAGACTTAAGAGAAAATCATTGGAAGATGGAACATAGATGGTATCTGACTCCAGCAAGAATAGCAAAAATAAATAATACAAAAACAAATTTATGTTGGAAGTGTAAACAAAATGTGGGAACATGGATGCATGTGTGGTGGCGATATCCCAAAATAAAAAAATTCTGGGGGAAAATGCATAAGACAATGCAAAATATTTTTAACACTAAATTTGAATTGCAACCTGAATTTTACTTATTGAATATGATAAATAAAATAGATCCAATAATAGAAAGAAAGTATTGGAGACCTATTTTATATATGGTATCGGTGGCAAGATTACAGTTAGCACACAAATGGAAAAAAGAAGAAATACCGACCAATGATGAATGGATTTTAAAAG